TTTTATGGGGAGGTCCATTTTCTTACAGTTCCCATGGAGCTTTACAACTTACTTAGAAAGGCTGCCAATCCAAAAAAACAATGTGTTTTTACATTATCTGTATTTGAAAACAATATTTAGGTTGGATTAAATAAAAGTTCATCTCTTTTCACCTGAAATGAATCATGATAAATCCACTGAAGTCAATCGTAAGATTACAGTGGGGGGGGGGGGGGGGGGGAATATTAAGAAAGGTGGAAATGAGGATGGAAAGTAAACTAGATTTCCAAAGATTCTTGGTTAGATGTTCAGTGGGTTTATGTCTCTCCCTTGTGCATACAAATGAATATGGACACAGAGTAGGTTCTCAGCCTCCACTCTGACTTACTGATGAAAGCTGATACTGACAGGAACCTTTGGGGCTGAGCCAACCTACAAGGTCTGCCTTTTGGTTTACAGACAAAATTGATAAAAGTTTCCCTTCTGAATTCACTTTCTATAGTTTTAGTTTTACCACAGTGGAACAACTGAAGAGATTTCTAGGTTGTCTTTAAGCTGATCCTAAACCTAAATCAAAAGCCCTATTTTCTCTTTATGCATTTCTGTATATTACCTCCTGGTCTACCTCTGTATGGTAAGAAAACTCGGATTGGGAAATTTGGGATATTCTGCCACAGCAAGCACACCTACTGCATCACTCGGGCTATTCACTGGATCCAGCTGCCTTTGAAGCATTTACTGAAAAATGTGAAATCCGTACCTTGGTTTCTTGTTTATCATTTGTCAAGCTGTGAATTAAAGTCCCAAAGTTATGCATAAGTCACTGATGTGTTAATTTGGTTAAAGCTAGAGGTGAGCAGCTCATCTTTGTGACTGACAGATATAGTATTAGTGCCTGTGTCTGCTTTGCTTGGCTTCTCTCTCTTTCAGTTGTAATTGCATCTAAAATCCATATACAGAGAGAGACAGAATTACTCGTGAGAGTCTGTGTCTCCTGGAGAAATGGTGGCAATAGCTTTTTGCTTTCAATTTTCATTTAAAAAACAAACAAACAAACAAACAAATAAACAAACAAACACTTTATTCTTGTTCTTGTCTTTATTCTTTGACTTTATTCTTGTCTGGTGGCAGACAACAAGTAAATTTAGCAATATTTTCTATTTCTTAAGTGTCAACTATTTCTTCTTTAGTTCAGTGCATTGAGATTCATTATTTCAGAATCTGGGACAATTTTCCATTGTCTCTGGTAGGTAATTTTCTGAAGCATCTCATCCTAAGTTCGAATTTTGCAGTCTTGCCCTGTCTGAGCTTGAGTTTTACACAATTTTATAATGCATGGATTTTACCTCTTTCATCCATATTTTATCCCTAAACAGATGCATATGGGAATTTTTTCTAGTGAAAGTCAGCTCTCCATATCTCACATCACTGTTGCTGAACTCTTCGTAAAGACAGACACTGATTTCAGCAGAGCCAAGTGTTTTGTCCAGGACCCAATGTGCAGTTCATGCTGCTTATCTGACATAGATGTGAATTTGTCCTCTGTATCTAAAATCATTCTGAATGTTTTTCAGATGACTTCTGACTGTTTGAACCTCATTATTGTGCTTGTTAAAGATGTGCAACTTGGCCTACAGCAAGGTGTACAGTACAGAGCATAGGAACATATGTTTATGGAACAAAAACAGGAAAACAACTGGTTAAAGATTTACTTATTTATTTTAAATGAAGTGGCTTATCAACATTTCATACAGTAACATTTTTTTTCTTTGTATTTTTTTTTTCAGCAATTCAGACATATCTATATATAACTGAATAAAGCATTCATATATGTATAGGTATTCTGAATTTTACTGCTCAAAATAAAAAAAAAAATAAAAATGCAACTTATCCTCTTTTCCAGCACAGATCTTAAAAGTACAGAGAGAGACATTAGATAGATATCTGGAGCTTCCCTAAGCACAGAAATGTCATCCTCATCCATTTAACCTGCTAAGGAATTAATCTCTCATCGTTCTAAGTTTGAGAGTTTTTAAGAAGGTAAATACATTTTTTTTTTCATTTTTTCCCTTTTTTAATAGCAAATACTATCAAGAATGTTTGAAAACTTTTAGAATTCCCATCCAAGTTAATCCTTTTAAACCTAGCTATGCTTATTAGCTTTCTTTGAACAGATAAGGCTTAAACAGATGTGTCATTTGAAGAACTGAAGTCAATTTAATAGCAAAGAAGGATACAAAATAGTGGCTACAGAAGGTGAAATGTGGCATTTGATGAAATAGTGGTGATACATTTTTAAATCTCTTCTAAAACTATATTGTTGAAATGACAGAAATTACTAGTGAGCTGTTATGGTTTTAGGAATTATAGGCATCAACCTATTTAGTGGTGCTAAGAAGCAGCTTGAATCCCTGGCTGTCTCTCTCAAGTGATTTCTGATGGCATGGCAGCTTCTGCAGCTAGCTGTATCTGCAGACAAGAAGTGCCTTGAATTTATCAGCCAGTGGGTTGAAATGTAAAGATAGGAAACCTCTTTATCCATCTTTAGGAGAAGGAAATTCTTAAGTCATCTGAATTAAAATGCCAATTTTAATTGAGTTCTCGCCTGTATCTCATTGTATATCCTCCTGGACAGTGGCAGCTGAGAAACACAACATCACCTCATTTGGATTGTCCTATTGTGCCAGCGGAACTATCTGCTATGGCTATGTACAGTGACTTAATGGGGATGTGCATAACAAGTGTCTATGGAGTTGAAAGACATTTCATTAGACATATCTGCAGCATAGATGAATGGGAGAAGTTTACAGTAAGGGAACATTGTGCTACATCATCAAGGAAGAGTCAAAGGATTTTTTTTTTTTCCTCTTTGCCATACAAAGCTTATCTTGGAAGGTTATTTACAGTTAATATTCCAAACAGGAGCTTCTGAGTTTCAGAGACATCTCTGAAAGCATGCTCTGGGAATTTTAAGCAGTGGCAGTTTTGGAAACAGGACATGTAGAAACAGCTGGAGGCAGGCTGAACAGTTCTTCTTTGCCTACGGTTTAGCAAGCACTTGGAGTCTGACTCCTTAATTCAACAGCTCAGTTACCCTGAAAGAAACCTCAGGGGGATCAAGGATATATCTTCATTTTGGGGTCCCTCTGTAGTGCCATGGTAAGATAAAGGAGCCTTACCCTAAACACAAAATATGTCCTTTGGGGGCAGGACCCATGCAATTGTAAATCATCATCACTGCCTTATAATCTCTATGTCTCCTATATACTGTGATCAAATAAACAAGCTTTGTGTTTGTTTTCCCAGCATTTCTACATCTGAAAAAAATACTTCATAATAAGCTTTAAATGGTCTCTCTGCAGGTTATCTCAGTGGCAATGCAAGTGCTAGAGAAGGGTTAATACCTGTGCCCATGCTGCACACTGCTCATGAGGACCAGTCCAGCAGATGAGGTACTAAGATTTTGCTGAAGCAGAGGAAAAGGATAGCTTATGAAAGATGAATGGGAGTTGGAGCTCAATTTAAATTAATTAACTTCAGCTAGACTGAAATTCTGTTTTGAAAAGTCAATGGCTGGGACCTAGTGTTTCCAAACTTGGAAACAGCAGGCTGGGAAGGGAGTAAAATAATTAGTGTGCATCTCACAACAACACACATAACTAAGCCTATAAAAGTTTGCAACTAATGATAAACTGTGCTTTACCAGAGCTGTCTCTGGGCCCATTTCCAAGTGACCAGAGTAGTTAAGTTCTGAGCTGTAATACAGAGATGTCTTTGCAAACTTAGCTTGGGAACAGGGGCAATACAAGTCCCAGGCTGCTGGAATAACTTTATTTTAAGATCATTGCAGTTGCTTCTTAGCCTTTTATCTCCTTCTTTAATTCTGTATTAAAAATAAATAAATAAATAAAAATCTAAATATATACAAACAGCTTCAGACACCTGCATGATCCTGATATTTTGCCTCTCCCCTCTCCACCCCCCCCTTCTTTTTTAAGCCAGCCTCCTGACTCTGAACACATGAAATTCACAACACTGATGTGGGACAAAAGCTAACTTGGAATAAGAAATTCGTCCATGAGTGAAACATAAAAACATTTAAATAGTAGTTTTTTGTTTGTTTGTTTGTTTGTTTGCTTGCTTTTTCAAGCAGGAAAATCTTAGGCCAGATCCTTAGTTTTTGCCAACAGGGAAGGTACCATCAAAAAGAAGCTTCATAGTAGTCAGTCTTGAAACTCCAATACGTATCATTTGACAATATTGCTATTTAGAGTGATTTATTTTTTTTTTATTATATGTATATATTAGCTATTAAATGTGCAAATGCAATTAATGTCTTCTAATTTCACTCATCAAAAAGTCACAGTCCTGTTGCATGTCTTGACTCCCACTTAGTAGTCAATGTAAAGAGCACCAATCTTTTAAAGATCCTTAAGGTCCCCTGTAGACTTTTTTTTTTTTTCCCAGAGGCAGCCTGAAGTACTGATATTGGAGGATTTACACTTCATGGAAAGAGTAGAAAATATCTTGAAAAGAATGAGCAAGACAGAAAAATTAAAGTTTAGGAAGGTCTCTGATCCTTGATTCAGTAAACACATGTAAGCTACAGTGTTGAGAATGTACATTGCTGAGAAGAATTAGGCCAAAGATATGGAGGCCAAAGCATTTTAGCTAAACCAGACTTCCTGTCACTGTTCTGTGGTACTTTGGTAGTGCTATTTTACCGTGAAGCCTGTTTTTGAAGTCTGTTAAAAAATAAAAGCATAGGAGGTCACCTCTGTTCAGTGAGGTGACTGGCAACAAAGGACTTCCACTGCAAGCTTAGGGGTGCTATGGTGCTATCTGTGTGCCAGCAGTGTTGATGGGGAGACATGGGTTACAGCTAGCTCAGGGTGTAACAGAGGCTCAGCCACAGGAATTATCACTCCCCATGTGTGCCTGCTCTCTCTTTTAATAGACTAAACACATATGTCTCTTTAGCCACTTAGAAAAAGATGTTATGAAATGGCTGTAGTCACAAATGGGGTTTTAAATGGTTTTAATGTAATATGACAATCTGTTCACAAATCCTGATGTGTTTACAAAACATATCCTTGCTGCCTAATATGTTTATTTTAACACTTTATTCAGGCTTAAATGCCATTTTCACATGCTAGGTTTGTTTGGATTTTGCATAAGGTTGTACCACTTATTCAGGAATGTCTGACAATAATGCAGCATTGGGAAAGAGTTCAACTTTTGTTTGGGTTGAATCACATTCAGCTCCTGTTATTCACCATTTAGTGCCTGAGTCATCAAATAACAAAACACATGGCTTAGGACTGTTTAGTTTCTGCTCTCAGCCAGAACAGGTGACCTTCTCTTTAGTATGACCACAGGCAACAGAAGTTAGTCTCATCTGGACAGAACAGGACAGAGGTTAAGTGAATCAAGTATTTTGCCATGATGCAGTTTCCTTCAGCTAAGAACAGACATCCTCAACTTTCTAGTTCAATGTGAAGGTTAGGAACACAGCTGGGTTCTTCCCCAGTTCTACGGTTTTTGTTGACAGGGTCTATCATTCACTATTTTCCACTGCTTTCAGAAGAGGAGGAAATCCTATGTCATGTGCGTGAACAATTACTTGGCTTCAGTTGCTTTCATCATTTCCTGGGACAATTTCAGCACATGCCATACCTGTGCTCCACACCATTTACCTTTGCAAATCCTCCAGTCACTGTCAATACCACAGCAACTCTTCAACCAAAGATATGTTCGTTCTTCCATGCTCTATATGGGATTGGAATATAATAGTAAATCAGGTCCAAAGTTTCTTCCTTTTCAAGGTGCTCAGAGGCCAACATATCCAAGGATATCGAAACTGAGGAATAGAGATCATGTGTACACTTTGGTGTATTTTTGTTTGTTTGTTTGCTTGATATAATGAACTTCTATAGAAAGGTTAAGCTACTTTGTGCTGAAGAATGACTACCAACCATGAGTCTGTCTGTCACAGGCTTTTTTTAAGGATCAAAGTGGTCATGTCTCTTCTGGAAGCTCTCTGATGGACAGGACTGACTTTTGGCCTCATTCAGGCTTTGCATTAGTTCAACTCCTGCAATCATAAGGTAAACAATAAGCAAGTCAAGCACAGAATTTACAAACAAGCTCCCATTTTCATGCTGAAATATTTTATCATTACTGAAATAAAAGAGGGCAAAGCACTTAATTTCTGATATTACCTTCCATTATGTTTCCCCTATATTATAAAACTCTCATCAGTCCATTATTCTGGGCAGAATAGATATTTAATTTATTCTTTTTCACAAGCAAATCTACCAATGTGTCATGACTGTCAACAGAGAAATGCTAAGTGGTATTGGTTGGAAAGAAAGCATTTCCAGGCCTTACCGCTTTCTAGGCCATGGATAATTGATATTGTAGTTGATATGGTATATTCATATATCACATTTAATATATATTTTACTGTAGATAATTTAAATCATATTTATCCATAACTCATTCTTAGTGCTGTTGAGGAATTTAATTTTCAGGTGATGATTTTGCCTTCTTTATTTTATTTATTTATTTATTTATTTATTTATTCTTTAACCAGGTTATTATTATATACTCCGAACTCGTACCCTATATAAATAATCCAATAATTGCAGGACCTCATATTTTTGGCACTTGGGCTGAGTAAGTTCCAAAGGAATTTCATTGCACTTTTAGTTTTCTTCACATTTTGCCTAACCAAAGTCAACCTGCCCATCATTCTTGTTAGCATGCATTCAGTACAACAAGGCAGCAGTAGACCACACCACATATGCCACAGTGTATTATTCTTTCTAATCAAAGGGTTTGCTTTCATTTCCAAAGTGTGGGAAACCTGACACAAGATGCCCATTGAAGATAGGGAAGAATCCTCCACTCTTCAGTGTAGTGTAATAATAACAACAACAATAACTTTGATTTTGTTTCAAGACTTCTCACTTGGGATCCTACAGAGGTTCTAATATCCCACCATGCCAGCATATTATTTTTGGATTGAATGACTGGATGAGCTTGATTTACATCTTATCGCACTCCATAGCCCGTAATGTGTTTTTAAATCATGTCTAAACAACTTACCACAAAAGCAAAATCGGAGGCAGGCAGTGGGAAGTATCTTGAATAAGTTGAGCATCAAAGAAAGAAACCTCAGAGGACTAAGAGGGGTATATTTGCAGCTGGCTGAGTCATGTTTCATGTGGGGTATGGTCTCTTGCTAATAATAAGTGAACTGCTAAAATATTATTCTACGCTTTATTAACTTGTTCAGTAAGTTTGCATGTCCTGTATAGGCATGTTCACTGGTAACTTCTTTTCTTTAAAATCTTTTCCCCTGATAGCCATCCAGATAACATTAGAAAAAAGTTTTTTTTTTTTTTTTTTTTTTTCCTCCTCCCTTATGTCACACAGCCAAGACTGTGAAGAGGCTTCCTTTGCTGTGCTGTGATATAGCGCATGCTGTTTATGCAATGATTCTACAACAAACTTTTTTCAAAGAAAAGTGATAATTGCATCAAATAAATTGTTGTCATTAAAAAAAATAAATAAATAAAATAAAAATACAAATCAGTGGAGTTCATACAAGTTGTTCAATACTGCTATTCCTGGATGAAAAGTAGGATTTAAAAAAAAAATAAAAATGAGAAAAGTTTTTGTTTTCTTTGCAAACTTTTCTTTTCCTCATAGGATATTTTTGCTTTGATATTTTTCTGTAACTTTCCATTTTTCATAGTTTATCTTTCCCTAAAGTGTTAGTTACTTAGTTAGTTTGTCTTAGCTAAGGAAGGAAGAAAAAGAAGAAAATATTTGGCTATTTTGGCAAACATTTAACAGGATGAGAGACAAGGGTTGACCAGAGTTGTGTGTACTCTTGCAGCCTGTAATGCAGTCATATCCACTCAACCATGAAACTCCTTCATTAGATTGGGTTGCATCTGTGTTGATGATGTTGTAATTATGTAAATTAAGATTTTTACTCATATTATTTGAAGATAGGAAGGAAAAAGGCTTATGGGAAACACTGTATCTCAAAATGCTCCCTAAGATGTGGTTTTGTAGCTGTAAGGAACACGGGCTGCTATCACATGAAGGATGCATTTCATAGAAGTAGAGGATGAAGATGCATGTCCCATAATATTGATAGTCTATCCCACTTATACAAAACACTTCTTCATCTTGAATGAGTGAGGGCTAATGTGACTAACAATGGTAATGGTGATAGACTGGGCAGTGAGTGCATTGTACTGAGATGAGAATACACCAATCACTTTTGCAGCTGTTCAGACGTGAATAACCCAAGCACTTAGGTCAGTTGTGGCTCTTGGGTCATGAAAATAGATGTGCAGCCAGAATGGGGAATAAAGAAAAACATCAAGAGAAATAAATAAAAAAATAAACAATTAATTGCGTAGTGAAAATCACACTGGTAACCTTATTTTTAAATAAGACAATACTCCAGTGTATAGATATCTTAGCTGGGATGGAGAAGATTAAAGTTCTTGTGTTGGTTCAGGCAGAAGAATGGTCTGATCCTTGGTCTTCCCTATATAAAGGAGTTTCTTATCCTGTGGATCCTGATAGTTTTAGAGACTTAAATGCAGTAGTATTGAAGGATGATCCCCACTTTGAAGAAGAATATTATCCTTACTACGGAAAACATGCATGTTCCCTCTCTGGTCCCCATTTATAAACTGTGGTGTTTCCAGAAGTCAATATTTCCTATTAAAAGAGAAACATTTGAAAAGCTTTTATCTGTATCCTATTTTCGCCCAAAGGAAATACACACACACACACACATCCTACTGAGGCAATAAGATGCTCAAAGCTCTTTTAAGCAGATATCATTTTCTTCACTGGCTGCTGAGACTTCTCACACTAAATTCTTTTCTTTTCCCGGCATGACATCATCTCCTGAGTTGGTCAACCTGTCTCTCAGGAGTGGATCTGAGGACCCATAGCTCCTAAAAGGGCTGAATTTACCCTCAATAATAATAACATTTGCACTTCTCCTCTGAGGGTCAGCACTAGAGGGCAATACAGCCACGCATTTAGCCACACACCAGTGATTTTCAGTGGACGGGTGTTGCTCCATTGACATGAAAAAGAAAGGGTGGAGATGAGTTGTCAAAACCATGAGTCAGAGAGAAAGCTGGTTCCACCTAAACCAGCACTGAAAATGCCAGTCCTCTGCCATGCAGTAATTTACTTTATCAGGCCACTATCAGAAATTAACACTGGGCAAAGTTGCAAGATAAATATCATTAACTCCCTTATTAGAGATAGGAGATATAATATAGAGAAATTTCACAATGACCTTGGAAAATAACTTATATAGGATGTATGCTGTATGAAATCAGCAAATCCTGTTTTATTCTGATTAATTAAAAAAAAAATAAATCAATATCAGCTGAAAGATGGTAAAATCATGCTGAATAAGTAGCAGGAAAACAAATCCCTCAGACAAATGTGTAAAACTGATATTATTAATACCAATCTCTGTTCAGGGTCCCATTCTGAACTTGGCCTTGCCCTCTACTTTACTGAAACCCTATCCCTAAAAATTGAGAGATGGCTGATATGGGACAGGCTAGGTTCAATCTGTTGGGATCAGGATTCATTTCAACCCATCAGTGCTCATTATTCCACTAAGTGGTGACATAAACACGGAGCTGAGGTCCGCAGGGACTTGGCTTGAGCTGGCTCCCATTTCCTGGTGCTGCTGCAGAAGAACACCTACTCTGCGTCAAGCCAAGTGATGGGTTTGCAGAGAAGATGGTCAGCTCCAGGATGTATCGAACACGAGCTTCTTCTCCAGAAATGTCTGTCACCCCTCTGAGACTGATTTTAAAACTCAGGGAAAATTAAGAAGAAATAAAGTTGAACTAAATACCACATAACCTATGTTATGTACTGCCCTGCTTTATTCTCTCTCCAGCTCAGAAATACTTATTTTATCTATCGTTACCACTGCATTTATTTAAAGTGACACTATATAGTAGACTTGTGAATTGCCCTTAGAACTGAAAAATATGCTTGTTTAGTTATATTTTGGTATTGTTATCCTCTTGTTATAGCTGACACAAATCCCTGTATTTATTGATACACTAAGACAGGAAATTTTGCACCATGAAAGGATTTGGCCAATACGTTTGCATAGGTTCATATTCCTGGGCTCACCATGACCCTTTTGGGATCTTTTGGTATGTTTTCCATGTTTGCACAGTGGAACTGTGCCAGGCTTGCTGCTTGTTGGACTGCATCTACATAGTTAAGCTAGTATTTGTACCTGAATGTGTTTACTTTTGAACCTGGCATCAAGTACATCAGCTTGTCCTACATACACAGGGAAAATATGAAGTAACTATTCATATGAAGTAACCCTTAACTTCAATTTAAGTATTTTGGCCACTCAAATTTATTTCACAGTGCAGCGCTTCTACTGTTTCCCACTGGCATTATGTCGCCTGTTGCACTGCTTCAGCACAAATCTAATACAGTGATTTCAGGTTAATAGAAACTCAGCAAAGCCAAAAAGACAAGGAAGTTGAGTAGCAAGGAGTAACTCAGGAAGGAGCATCCTGAAATCTGACAGTTTAAAGGACTCATTATGACTGAAAGAAAGCAGAGAAAATATTGCCGGTATGGAAAAAGACCTTGAGACATATCAAGGGAAATTATCACCTAAGGTGATAATTCACCCAGTAGTGAATACTTTAAACATCTGCAACTCAGTCTAGAACTTTTGGAGCAATAGGCTGGTAGAAGACAAATGTATGTTGTTATTTAGGTGATTATTTTTAGGCAAAGCAGATTGAACATTGACATACAGTATGAAGGCAAGTTGCGGCTTTTTTTCAAATGCACATTCTGAGAGATATATTTCACAAGGTGGAAGTCCTAAATCAAACAAGCTCAAACACTTCTTGCAGAGGTAGCTGAATGAAATGTAAGGGCCTGCTTTGTAAAGAAGGCCATACTAGCTGATCCAATAGCCTATTCAGAGCTTAGTCTCTGGGAGCCTATAGTCTGAGGTACAGGCTTAAGCCTCTTACTGAGAGTTGAAAC